ATGGCCACAAAGGATTCTGAAGATAACTGGATGGATCACTGCCACGTGCACTTAGCAACAAACATACACCTCGTGCCAAGATACTGAAAAATCTAAGGATCACCCAGAGAAAGCTGTATATTACTGTCTTGAAGAGCCATAGGAAGAGGTTCAGGGCCATTGCATAATGGACTTGACCATTGTCAAGTGCCCATCACTGATGTAACCTCTATCTAGGCATACTGGGATCAACTGAAGTCTGCCATCCTAGAAATCTGCATTGAGACTCTTAGATTTTCTCGGTGATAGAAGCAGGACTGATTTGACACTAATGACACCCAAATCTACACTCTCAAGTGGAAGCAAGCAAACTCTGTCACCTAGCAGAGCTACCCACTTTCCCAGCGAATGACAGCAACATACCAACAGTTGATGGCTGATATCTAATGATGCATTGATGATGTGAAGAACAATTAGTGGGTGGAGAAAATGTATGAGATTCGGACTTATGCTGACCAGCATGACATGCACAACCTTTTCGGGCTAACAAGGCGACTGAAGAATTGCATTCGACCAGACAAAATCCTCTCCATTCATGGGATGGCTCCTAGCACCTCAAAGACAACAATGCCATTCCTCAGCATTGGAAGGTGGTCTTTGAACTCTTCCTGAACCAAGAGTACACCATTTCAGAGGAGGTCCACAAAGTTAACCCATAACACCATAGAGGATTCTGTCAGTGATCCACCAATGAGCTTAAGTAGACCATTTGAACTGATGAAAACCCACAAAGTGTGACAGCCAGATGGTATAACCACTGAGGTCTACCATGCTGGTGGCTATCAGCTCATGCTATGACTCCCTCAGCTCACCCTCCATCTCTGGAACAAAGACGACATCCTCAGGGATTTCAAGAACATGGGCATCATGATGATCTACTTGGGGGAATAAACAGGATTTGCAAATTGCAGGGGGCTTTCCCTCCCGTCCATTGAAGCCAAGATCCTGGCCCAACTTCTTTGTCTTGTCTGAGAAATTCTTCTGGAAACCCAGTGTGGTTTTTGGCCATCCAGAGGTACTCCAGACTTTGTCTAGGTGGCTAGAAGACCCAGGAAAAATGTCAGAGCAAAAATCAAGAATCATTCCTCACCCTCATTGACGTGACCAAGGCATTTAACTCCCTAAATCACAAAAGCCTATGGAATGTCCTCCAGTATGTTGGTTGCCTATTGACAATCATCATCATCCTGAGACCTTTGTAAGAAAATGACTGTCACTGTCCTGAGCGGAGGATCTGAAATTTGACATCTTTTACATCAAGACTGGTGTCAAATAAGGTTGCGTGATCACTCCTGCGTGTTCCTCATCTACTTGAACATCATCGTCCACATCATCCAAGTTGACATATCAGTGCTGTCAGAATTCAATATCTTCTGGTCAGGAAATTTTCAAACCAAAACCACTTTAGACTTTCACAGCCTTCAGTTTTTGGATGACTACTGCAGGGTGGTTTACTCTGTACAGTAAATACAAAGGATGCTCTACCTTTTCAATACCTTGAATAAGATGCTAGACCTGTTCTTAAACAATCACTGAGACAAAGGTCCTCCACCCACCTTCCCCTGGCCAGAATAGCATCCCCGAGCCACATACATTGGCAGGGTGGCTCTGGAGTACGTGTAACACTTCCCATATCTCTGCAGCCACCTCTCCCAAATCATTGAAGAAATCCAGCACTGAGTCAACTGTGCCACTGCTGCTTTCTCCAAGTTGGGATGCATCTTTGACACCAGGGACTTGTGAAAGTTACCAAAGATCCTGCTTTAGAAGACTGCTGTGTTGACCAGCTGCCTGTATTGCAATGAATCCTGGTCCTACTACTAACATTACATTAAGAATTTTGAGAGCTTTCATCAATAGTGTCTACAGTGATCAAATGGGACGGCTGGCGGATCAACACGCGGATCTTCCGAGAAACTTCATCTGCCAACATCAATGGCTTGCTCCCGAAGAACCAACTCCAATCTATAGGCCAATGCGTCCCAATGTCCAAGGCCACCTTGTGCAGCAAGTTTGCTTCTCAGTTCTCCATTGATCAACACTCAATGGGTGGCCTAAGGAAGAGGTATAAGAATACACTCAAGGTCACCCTGAATGATGGAGGTATAGGCATCTCTGATAGGGAAGAGAAAGTTGCCGACTGCTTGACACAGTACCTCCTAGTCCATTAAAGCACAAGCCACGTAGACGCTCAGCAACTCAAATCGTGAGGTGGAACGGTGGCAGAGGAAGGAGAAGGCAGTAAATTCAGGGCTATGATTTACCATCTCAATCTTCAACTATTAAAAGAATTTTAAATGTTTAATGTGACAGTTTCTTGACTTCCCTGGAGGGTAAGTTCACAAAATCAACAAAAAGGCCATTACAGCTAATCCTGGAAAATGCAGAATTCATAAAATCATTTGGCAAACAGATCCTGGCATCTTCAATAATGTTATAGTTCATTGAAGAGCTGAAATATGCAAAGGGCTGCAAAGTGGCAAAGTAGCATTGAGTGAAGCAATAGGCCATGACCCTTTATACAGCACTCCAGGGGAGTTCAGGGATCATGGGTTGTAGTCAGGGATCAAGGAGGGAGTTGGGGTTGGTGCTGGTGATTGGAAAAAAAAAAAATCAGTAGAAAAGTTACCCAATAAGTCACATTACAATTTATCTGTCTAATGTCTCCTGCATAATCATCCAGGTAAGTATATTGAAACCAATCTGGAGTCTCTGATTTTAACTCAGAGTCAGAAACATTTTAGGAGGATCCCAGAATGCAATGAAATGGCCCAGTGGAATCAAATCCCTTCCCACAAAATCAATGCATCAGACGAAATGGAAACCTGAATATCTGGGGCATGACTTTTTTGAGTCACAAATCAATCTGACACATACATTTGACTGGCACAGAAGGTAGGGCTAGTTGTCTAAACAAACTCAATAGCAGGACGTTTGCTGCAAATTTCAGGAAAACATAAAAACTTTTTTTTTTCAAAACTGCAAAGATTTGGTTTATTGAAACACGACCAAAGAACAGACAAGGTAAAGAGTGTTTTTCTTCCCCAGCTGCACAAATCTGCAGACATAATGATTATATGGCTTAGTGTCAGACAAGTGCTCAGGCACAATCGAGACCTAATACAGCACAAAATAAAGAAGCTTCCTTTGACAAGTGTATGTCACTAAGTTCTAAAAAGATTGGCGAACAAAAATAATTCCCCACTTCCTAGGGGATGGCCAGTTGTCTGCAGACATAGAACTGAGGAATACTGTCTTTTAAACTGAAGGAAAAGACAGCAGCTTCACTTGCTACACCAAATTGAATCTGGATTCTGTGATTTTTAATGTGAAGTATTTTGAAGGGCTAATGGAGAAATTGAGGCAGCATGGTGACTCAGTGGTTAGCACTACTGCCTCACAGCATCAGCGACCTGGGTTCAATTCCATTCTCAGGTGATTGTGCAAACTCCACATACATTCTCCCTATGTCTGCGTGGATTTCCTCTGGGTGCTCAGGCATTGTCCCACAGTCAAAAGATGTGCAGGTTAGGTGGATTGGCCATTGGAAATTGCCCATGGTGTCCAGGGAGGCACAGGTTACGTGGATTAGCCATGTGAAATGCTAGGTGGGGAGACCATGGGTCTGGGTGGGATGTTCTTCAGAGGGTCTGTGAGAACTCATTGGGCTGAATGGCCTGCTCCCACACTGCAGGGGTTCTATGATTCTATAAACAACTGGATAATAAAACTGGCATTTATTTATATAAAGGAACTAGAATTCCATTGGCTCTATCTTGCCAGATATCAATTAATAAGAATTGTATTCAATTGCTTGTTGTCTATTGGATGAAAACAACAATATTTATTTTGAGTTTATAAAGTACACTGATTTTTCTCCTCTTGCTGATTTACTTCTCTCTTTATTTCTTCATGGAATCATTCCTGGGTCCAGTCATGGTCATACAGCATGGAAACAGACCCTTTGGTCCAACTAGTCCATGCCAATCCTGTTCAAAAACTAAACGAGTCCCACCTGCCTGCATTTGGCCCAGATCTCTCCAAACCTTTCCTATATGTACTTATCCAATTATCTTTTAAATGTTGGAACCTTAACTGCATCCACCACTTCCTCTGGCAGTTGCCCCTCATGTCCTTTTAAAATTTTCTCATTTCACCTTAAAAACATCCCCCTAGTTTTCAACTCACCCACCCGAGGGAAAAGCCCTTGCTATTCACCTTATCTATGCCCCTCATGACTTTATAAACTTCTGCAAGATTATCCCTCAGCCTCCTATGCTTCAGCGAAATAAGTCCCAGCCTATCCAGCCTATTTTTATATCTCAAACCCTCCATTCCCAGCAACATCCTGGTAAATCTTTCCTGAACCTTCTCCAGTTTAATAATATCATTCCAAGAGCAAGGAGACCAGAACTGCACATAGTACACCAGTAGAGGCCTCACCAATGTCCTGTACAACCTCAATGTAATCACGAGTGACTTTCATTCAAATTATCCAACAAAGCCTTCAAATTTTTTGATTAAGGACACTTCATCATAGCTTAGGACAACGTTTCCTCACTCAAAGTCCACCCACATGCCCTTGCAGCAGATATCATTGGTTAAGGATACGGTTCTTTGTCTGTCCTCTTCCAGTCTATGGCCATTGTAACAAAGTTACCAGCACCTTGCCTAAGATCAGGTAACACAATATAGATCAGGAATCTTCCTCAGCTGATTAGTTCAGCTAATAGATGAATAAACTCAGCAAACCAAAAGCAAGGTTCAAACAACTGACTTTGAAATGTTTTCACAAGATTGTTCTTCCAAACAAGATGTCTGTTTATCTTAACAGTAGATTAGCTACACACATTATTCATATAGTTTATAAAGACAGAATATTTCCTTGACAAGAACACTATGGTATTCAAGAACAAAACAAAGAACTTTTTAAGACAACATTTACGGAATTTGACTTGTACCTGTTGTGTCCAAGAAATCACAAATGGAACAGGAAAATCTGTGGAACAATCAGGTGGTTCAGCTGGGTACTGAAGATAAACAAAAAGATATCAAGTAAAGATTAGGTTGTTGATGCCTGTAAAAGTGTCAAAAACCTAAAATGATCAAATCTCTGACCTCCTGACTTCAATGCAAGAGCTCCCTGGAACAAACATTTGCTTGCAGAAGAACTTACAAAAAAAATTGAAATAATTTCAAAGAGAGAATAAACAGAGTTAATTTTTCAAATCCAGTGACCCTTTCTCAAAACTGAACCACTGGATTCAAAACATTAAACATTTTCTCTCGACAGATGCTGCCCGACCTTCTGAGTTTCTCCAGTATGCTCTGTTTTTGTTTCAGATCTCTAGCATTCACAGTTCTTTATTTCATTACTATAATTTCATACCCATTTATTACAGAGTATAAATTAATTTTCAAACCAACCTGCTAATGCACACCTGCATGCACGAGTTACATTGAACTGTTACATCTAAAATTGACGCACTTCTATTTAGTTTGGTCAGAATACACACCCATTCTCTTGCACCACTTCTAAAGTCAGTGAGCACTGTACACCCAGCCTAACTTTAGATTGATAAAGAAAATGCAATGCATTAACATTCCTTGGAAAAATGTAAATATGAAGAACACAAGATTTCTTAAATTTTCTATTATAACAATCAGAAAACTTATTGTGTTTTTGTAATAACTCTTCAGAGGCTAGCATCCCATCACCCTTTATTTAAAAATACACAGCCTTGGACAGTAGCACTGCTTCACACTGTGTCAGGCATTCAGGGTTTCAATATACCCGACATTCATTCTTCTTTGTCAACCAGGTCTCCCTGATTGGACCACATTAACAGCCCCTCATATTCTCTGGAGGTCTAGATTACTGACCTTGTTACAACCACTACAGTTTTAAATACAAGTGAGCTAGGAGTTCACCAGCCTCAATAGTTATGTCTGATCCAAAAAGAACAAAAACAGATCCTATTTGATTCTTGGCTTGTGGTGTGATTAAGATGTTTCAACTAAGACAAAGGTGCTTGCCTATTTATCTTGGTATCTCTTGGCTTTTGTTGTAGGCAAAAAAAGTTAAGACTCCCAGTACTAATCACTTCAATTATCTGCAGTGGAAAATGTATTTCAATGAATAAATTAGGACAGAATTCTGTTGAATTTCCCTGATGGTTCATGTGAGAATGACTACGTTTAAAATTATCAAGTAAGAATTACCAGAAATGTCAGCTTTCACCACTCTCAGGTGGTGAAATATACTTATCTGTGGAATATACTGTCTTCAAAAGTGGTCAAAAAAACTTTGCCCAATACCTACAATAAACATTCCTTGCTCTTAAGTAAAGAAATAGACAAAGGTCTAAGTTGAGTACTTGCCAAAAACAAAAGTACTCTGCTGAGATAGTAGGAACTGCAGATGCTGGAGAATCTGAGATAACAAGGTGTAGAGCTGGATGAACACAGCAGGCCAAGCAGCATCAGAGGAGCAGGAAAGCTCCTCTGATGCTGCTTCGCTTGCTGTGTTTATTCAGCTCTACACCTTGTTATCTCAGAACTCTGCTGGGTACAGTTTCAAAAAAATTCAATACAAATGGCTGGATTCCATCTTTCCTGTTTGCGGCCGGGGCATACAAAAAAGGACAGAGTAATACTAACTCAGGTATTGCTAGTCAAAACCAACCAAAAGGTGAAACTTGATAATGGACTCTTAAGTATGTACAGCAGTACTTCACTGATGTTTTCCTAATGTGAACCCAATTTAATACCTTAGATGCTATGTGATCCCCAGAAAGTAAGTTTGGGGTGGGGTGGGGCAGGAGAGTTGCTGTGTGGGGAATGGGTGGCTTCAGACTGCAGTCACTGAGCAGAGCCGGGGCAGCTTTAGTCCTTGATCAATTGGGACAACGACTTATGGTGGGAGTAGGAGTGGGATAACAGTAGTTGATGAAGAAGTAGAATTTCTCCAAAGAAAAAGGCCTGCCTGTTTCTAGGCTTTTTTTTGCAGCTGTAACTGGGCCTCAAAGAGCATTCCATTGTCTACCAACAAAGTCGCAAGCATTTTTGCAGGCCTCAAAGCTGTCAGAAATCAGCTCAAGTTCCACGGCAGTCATTGCAGACACTGAGATCGAGGCCCCAAAATCTTATCTCACGGAGTTTGGGAAGCCCTGTTCTACAACAGCAAGTTTCAAAAAAAAAAAAGCAGCAATTTCATATTCCATAAAGAATAGGATTTATTTTTGAAATATACAAGTAAATATTAAAGGCATACCCTGAAAAATTAGGGCATCTACACAAAACTAGATTTAAAATATGTCATTTAGTTTCAAAAGTAAAATAATTACATTTCTCAGCCAGCCTTCCTCCCTCATTTTCTGAAACTACTCACTCCCCACTAAGGGATATACACATGGGCACTTTTGTCCTTTGTGTATTCAGTCTAAACAGTCCTTCACATACGTATGTGTGGGGAAGATCGGAACTATGCAAACAAAACCAAAGAAGAAACAGGTAAAGAGATTTTTTTGTCCCCAGTTACACTGATCTGTTGAACATATATGACACAATTGGTAAAATAGTCAAGAGTTAAGAAGTTTGAGACCCAATATAGCTTAAAGTAAAAGATGTTTACCTTGTCAAACACATATCACAAAGTTCTAAATGAAACAGTGTGCAAAAATGATTTCCCACTCCCAGGAAATGTATGTTTCCATACAGAAGTTCATGTGATTTTAAATGACGTTATTTTAAAGAAAATAAAATTGTGGCATTTTCACTTGCTATCATGTTCCTGTATTATGAGCATTGGAAAGGAGTCATGAACCTAGGTATAGCAAATATCCCTTGGTTCCAGGAAACAGTGGAGGTGGCTCAAAAATGGTTGAAACAATCAAGGCATTATGGCATTTTCTGATACCCCTGAATATACAGACCTTGGAGTGCATGTTCATAGTTCCTTGAAAGTGGAGTCACAGGTAGATAGGATAGTGAAGAAGGTATTTGGTATGCTTGCCTTTATTTGTTGGTGCATTGAGTATAGGAGTTGGAGGTCATGTTGCGGCTGTACAGGATATTGGTTAGGCCACTTTTGGAATACTGCATGCAATTCTGGCCTCCCTGCTATAAGAAGGATGTTGTCAAGCTTGAAAGGGCTCAGAAAAGATGTACAATGGATGTTTCCAGGGTTGGAGGGTTTGAGCACTAGGGAGAGGCTGAGTAGGCTGGGGCTATTTTCCCTTGAGTGTTGGACCTTATGGTGGTTTCTAAAATCATGAGGGGCATGGATAGAGTGAATAGGCAAGGTCTTTTCCCCAGGATGGGGAGTCCAAAACTAGAAGGCATAGGTTTAAGATGAAAGTGGGAAAAGATTTTAAAAAGGGACCTCAGGGGCAATGTATTCACGCAGAGGGTGGTGTGTGTATGGAAGGAGCTGATAGAGGAAGTCGTGGAGGCTGGTACAATTACAACATTTAAAAGGCTTCTTGATGGATATATGAAAGGAAGGTTTCAGAGGGATATGGGCCAAATGCTGGCAAATGGGACTAGATTTATTTAAGATATCTGGCTGGCATGGACGAGTTGGACCAAAGGGTCTATTTCCATGCTGTACATCTCTATGACCCATGACACTGCATGCTGACAGAGTGGTAGCCCTATGGTCCAGTGCATTTCTCCATTACTGTAGAGGACCTGCAAAGCCAGATGTGTACTATTGATAGGACTCTGCATCTTTCAAAATCTTGCTAACCCGGCAAAGCCATGTGTGCACTTCTCCTGTTTCTGTCTGGTAAGAGACAAAACCATGAAATTGTTCTATGATCTATTACTGCTCACGGTGTATGCAGCCTTCAACATGGCTGTCTGTTGCTGCAATACAGAAAATTGTTGACTACATTCCCTGCTTCTGCTTGGAAAGATTTACATGCATTGAAATTCAGTGTTGAATTCAATGGCATTGCCATCCTCACCCTCTTGACTCACTGCAGGTCCTATTGAAGCAGGTGGCCTAGTAGAATGACCACATCCTTTTTAAATCATAGATTCCTCAGACAATGCTTATGGCTGAAGTAGTGATAGGAGGTGTGCTCTGTTAAGACCATTACTTGGTAGGATCTGTTACTTCTGCACACAGCCTCCCTTCTCAGTGGCTTGCAATCAGTGTCCCTGGCATATCACAATTCAAAATAAACTACAGTTGTAGATCCCTAACGCTGCAAAGTTCTTTGCTAACAAGGCATAAATCTCCTCTGGCCTCTACCAGGATGCGGCAAACAAAAATGTGACTATCCTGAGAGCACTGTATATCTATGAACTTAGTTACATGAAAAAAGCAAGTCAAATGCACCATATTTGCAGTTCCATATAACTCTAAGCTGATCCTTTACATAACTCTAGGGGAGGCTGGTGGTGAGGGCAATGGTTAGATGTGTGAACCTCTTGGATGCATACCAAATGAGAATGATAATAAAAAGATGTTAAATTGACCTGTATTGTCAAAAATTAGCAAAGCAGACATCAAACAGGTCTTCAGAAGTTGTTTGAAGTCATAAGTAATGCTCTGTGTGCTACTGCACCCTTATATAAGCATAGGGTGCCGCATGCGCCCTGTCAGAATAATGCCTACTATTTATGGTTGCTCTGGCTTCCATGGCGTTGGCCCTATAGCATGGCAACACCCAAACATTAAACTAACGTTGTTCAAAATTCTGATTCTTTTTTCCCTTAAGCAAAAGTTTTACATCATAAAAAGGTGTTTCTACATGCTTAGGACAACATTCGCATCAGATCAACCCATGTGCTCTATCAGACCTTTTCATTGATCAAGCCCGATTATTCCATGCACAAATAACTACTTTATGCTCTGTTCAAAGTTAAAGCCATCAACACTTGTTTTTTCGTTAAAATCCAACTTTATTTATACATTTCAAACTACTCAAGTGTCAAAAGTATCAAAGGCAATATCTAATTCACTAATTTTCTGTTTAATGCTTATCCCAACTTTCTGGTAGAATTGTTACTTGCTGCCAAGAATATAGTACTGTACTTAATGAGTGTCACTGCACATTTACATGCAAGTACTAATGTTGTTCTGAAAAGACAAACAAGACACCAGCAAATAGATGCGATCTGCAAATTATTTTTACAGATATTTTTGAATCAACTTGTTTAGAGATGTTGCTACACACCTCTAGAGCAGGTGGCACTTGAATCCAGGCCTCCTGGCTCACACTACCATGTTTCCACAAAAGCCGTAATTTTTTTTTTAAATATAAAGACCTACATGAGACCATAGGCAATATTGCCCTCCAGCACAGTGCAAATTCTGTGTTAGCTCCCAATGTCACCTACCGCAAGGTTTAACATGCAAGCGCTCTGGTTTTATGCTTCATAAATCAACATTCAATGGCAGACGCAAATAAATGACAAATAAGGGATAGTAAGAACAGCCAATGCTGGAGTCAGAGATAACACAGTTTGGAGCTGGAGGAACACAGCAGACCAGGGAGCATCAGAGGAGCAGGAAAGCTGACACTGGGTCGTGACCCGAAACATCAACTTTCCTGTTCCTCTGATGCTGCCTGGCCTGCTGTGTTCCTCCAGTTCCACACTGTGTTATAAATGACAAATAAGAGCTTTTTTTCTTACTTAATGCTGTCAGTACTATATATAAAGTTATTTACTTAAAAGGAGAAAATGTGTCTTTTCTCCTGCCACCGCAAAACTAAACATTTCATGGCTTGTCAATTGTGGACAGAGACAATAGCTGCAAAACATTTTCTTGAACAATATATAGAACAGTATGTAGAACTGATAACAATGCATTTTATACACTTTTTAAATTATCCAAGGAATTACTCCTCTTTAAAAAAAAAGTACATAACCTTAAAAAAAACCACCTGTGAATATGTCTATTGGTGTCCCTTAAACATTTCTTAAATAATTCTAGTTCTTCTAGATGCACTGTAGTAACTCAGAGGCTCCTTTGACAGCATCCTCCAATTCTGTGCCCTCTACAACCTAGAAGGACAACGGCAGCAGAAGTACAGGAGCACCACCACCTGAAAATGCCCATGCCATCCTGTTTTGGAACCGTAATTGCGGTTCCTTCACTGTTTCTCAGTCAAAATCCTGGAACTCTCTTCATGAAAGTACTGTGGGTATTCTGGAAGTTAATTCTAAATAAAACTTGATCACCCAGGAACAAGGCAAGAGTGACTCTCTTGACATAGACCATGTCTAGCATCAAGGAGCCAATTACTGGAGTCAATGAGAATCAGGAGGGGAGGGGAGGAGAAGGAATTTTATGTTAGTTGGAACCATTCCTAGCATAATGGAAGATGGCTGTGTTTGTTAGAGGTGCATCAGCTCAGCACCAGCACACCACCACAGGAGTTCCTCAAATGTTCTAAACCCAACCATCTTCAGCTGCTTTGTCAATAACCTTCCCTCCTTCATAAGGTCAAAAGGAGGATGTTTGCTGATGATTGTGCAATGTTCAGAATCTTCTCAACTCCGAAGATACTGAAGCAGTCAGTTTCCATTTGCAGTAGGACACAGTTAACATTCCAACTTGGGCCATCAAGTGGCAACTAACATTTGTATTCCACACGTGCCAGGGAATGACCCTCCCAAAAGAAGAAAGAATGTAACAGTGGCCATTTACATAAATGACATTACCATTGCTCAATCCACACCATCAACGTTCTGGGGTTTACCATTGACCAGAAATTGGAGTCAACTAGCCGTAAATGGCCTGTGGCTTCAGGACAGGTCAGAGGCCATGTACTGAACAGATAGGAACTCGTCTCTTATTTCCCAATACGCATTCACCATCTACAAGGCACAAGTCACAGTGAGGAAATTCTCTTCATTTACTCGGATGGGTACAGTTCCAACAACACTTAAGAAGTTTGACACTATCCAGGACAAAGCAGCCTGCTTGATCATCACCCTATCCACTACCATAATATCCCTTCAGCACACATGCATAGTGGCAGCAGTGTGTACCATCTACGAGATGCACTGCAGTAACTCAGTGGCTCCTTTGACAGTACCTTCTGATTCTGTGCCCTCCACCACCTGGGAAGGACAAAAGCAGCTGATGCATAGGATCACCACCACCTGTAAATGCTCATCCAAGACACACACACCATCCTGTTTTGAAACTATAATTGCTGTTCTTTCACTGTTCCTCAGTCAAAATCCTGGAACTCCCATCTGAAAGCACTGTGTGTATTTTTACACCCCAATGGCTACAGCTGTTCAAGAAGTCAGCTTAGTACCACCTTCTCCAGGGCAGCTGGGGATAGGCCAAAAATGCTGGCCTAGATGTGGACGCCTAATGAATGAATAAAAATAAATCTTATGTTAGCATTAAATACTCAGGACTGATTAATGAATTATGTTATACTGAGCACTTCCAGCTTTTGGCTAAAGCAACAACTGTCCTAAAACAAATGCAACTGTGAACCAGGCCATCTTATATCATAGGTTTCAAACCTCAAACTCTTAAGTAGGATGAAATGCAAGACCAAATAATAACCAGAAACAAGTTGCCATAGCAAATAAATCCATCTCCTTGTATCTATATTGATTTTTTTTTAATATACAAAATTACTGTTCAAAAGGAATCCCAACACTATATCTTTGAATCCATTATCAGTGCCTCACCTTTGATTTTAATTTAATTGTGATCATATGCTCTCGACCTGCAGAATCCTCAGCCTTCAGCTTAATGGTTCTGAACTCTGCGTCCATATAAGCAAGTCTGAGAAGAAAATAAATGAAAGGTTTATGAAATCAAAGTCTACTAGTGATTTGATGTGTTTGCTTTACCCCTATTAATCTGAAACTAATATCAGAAAGACAAGGTCTTGAGTGCCAAGCATTTCTGCTGTCACAGATTTACTGCTGTTAATACACCAGTCGGCTGTTTAATGTGTTCATATATCACGAAGTTATTTACGACCTGTGTCAAGGCTCACGCTGTGGTCAGTGAGCACCATGTTTCAGTTTTCCATCATGGGAACCTTTGGCACACACAGCAGGTTCTTGTCAGCCTTTACTTATGTTCACATAAAACTTCCTGTCAGGCCTTTGATCAATTTTTGCAGTTTTATACTGCGTTAGACCAGCCGGAATTTTTTTAAGCCCATTAATATTACCAGTTTTTAATCTACTCTTTCTCATTAAATCTTTCATCCTGAAAATTATTAATATTTGCAATGAAAAGCACCATGTATGTATGTGTAACATCTACATTTTGTTCTATCAGAAATTGTGTACAATTCTGGGTAGGAAGCTCATTAATGTGCCTTATTTAATTGGAGAACTACATCTGTAAACCTGTTCCAGCTGTAGACACTCAACTGCTTAGATTGGCATTGTTTTATCAATTTTAAATGGCTCTGACAAAAGTTAGTGGTTAGAGTTTAAAGAATTCAATATATAAAAATTAAGGAACTTGGTATACCTTTGGTGAGACACCAAGTCAAACTGACCATTACATCCCTGGCTTTCTTCACTTGTGCTGAGATAGACAATTTTGGTCAGTGTAGTAGCAAAATCACTGCAGTCTTAGCCTCCTTTGGTTAATGGGGAGAAAGCCAGAATTTCCCAGAATCAGACTGCTAGTCAATTTCTCTTGCAATTGACACAACTGCAATTACCCACATGTAAAATTCCAGAGAGATTTCAGCAGTCATTGGCAGAAGTATATGAGGAAGACCTGGTTTTGTCTATTCTCTACCATTCCTTCTGAAGCTACACAAGGCAAATGAAAGAAGTTTTTGCTCTGGCTGCTAGATGGAAATCCAGCATAAACATGGTGATTGTGTGCCAAGAAGTTTTAAAAAAAAACAAATCTTGGACATTGGGGAGCAGATGTTATTTTATTATTTTGTTGGCAAGACCAGCATTGAAAAAAGTTGTGATTAGTAGCCTTCTTGAACCATTGCAGTCTAGGTAGTTGATTAAAATGCTGTTAGGATGGCTCCCAAAAGTTGAATTAACCAACTCATTTTGAGATTAATCAAAAACAGAGATCAGTTGGTTGAGGAAACCACTTAGCCCCAAACCAGCCACCAAGAAGCGAACACTGTTTCCTGGCAAACTGGGCAGGCAAGTGCCTAAACTGCCCTTGTACCCACAAATCCATGGAAATAATGCACCCTTCCACTGACCTGCAGATGTCAGTATGTGAAGGCATGGCCTGGTGGATCAAAAAAGATGATTTATTTACTGCTTATGAAGCACAGTCAGATTTTGACAGATTTCGAAAGAATGAGAATAGTACAATAGAAGTATACAGAACAGGATTCAGCAGATTGCAGAAATTTCATTTGGAAGAATATAGAAATCAAGACTGCAGAAACTTCACTTGGAAATTCCCCAATCTCTGCTGGCATGAATTATGTGTTTGTGCCAAAGTAACAAGTATGGGCAGACTTCTAGGTTTGACAGGAGTTAAATTTGTGGATAAACATACACTGCCAGAATAAATGTTGAACACACTAAAAAAAAATTCTGAGAAATGCATTACTTTCCAGAAGTGTCCACAGTACAAAGAGAACAATCTGTGAAATGACAGAAAATGGAGGACACAAATGTTAAATTGGTGAAACTGTCTAGATACAAGTCACAGGTATACAAAAATAAAGAACTGAAACTCATAGAAGTGAAGACAGAAATATTATTGATAATTTTTAATGAGGTAAATTTGTGATTTATAAGAGAATGACCACACCCTAAACATTTCTTGAGTTCAATGTTTCAAGTGCAATCCAAATTATTATTGTCGTGAACTGTCCCAAATAGTACAACAAGATCCAAACTAAGCATTAATGGGAAGCTTCAAAGAACAACGGACACATAAATCAAAGAGAAAGCATTGTAGTGTTGACAAGTTTCACCACAGTGATTAATGTGTTGGTGGCAGAGTTTTTCCATTGTGCAGTATTAGACACTGGATACATGTCTACAGTGTGTGAAATAGTGGCTAAAATGCTATCTAGAATCTCCAAGTAATAAGGATTGAGACAAAGTTAGGGAATATGAGATTTTCATCACTTTCAGATTTGTGATTAAACAAATAGTGATTAATCCTTGTATATAGGGGAATCAATCATTTTATTAGCACAAATGTTATGTCCAGTGAAGTACCATTGTTATTATATAAGCCAAAGAAGAAGACACAAATGAAGCTGGATAATGACAAAATTATTGTGCTTGAAGTTACAAGTTATGCAATCTGGATACTTGTATTCCTTTAATGAAACATATCCTCTCCACTAAAGAAGTTTAGAAAAAGAAGTGTTACTGATACCAGGGGTTGTGAATTAGAAGACAAAGTGAATTGTGTTATAATTAAGTAAGCGATTTGAGAAAGGAATTGGCTAATGATGAATTTGGAAATATGTGTATGACTATTAACAATTACAAATTTGGCAACAGGAAAATTTTTTTAAATTGGGTTATGTTAAAGGAGTTATACAGTAACAGACAAAATAGTTCATTAAATTTTGATGGATCATCCAAAATGTAAATTATCATCTCTACTAATATGGGTTGTCCATGCCAAGAGTTTGTTGCAGATGGTTGGAGGATATAGCCCATATCAGTTAAATTTTAATAGGAATCCTGAAGTTCCATCAGTAATAAGTGATCAGTCCCCAGCTTGGGCAGGGTGTACGATTAGCTTAACTTTCTCGGTGTATTTAAATGCATTGCATGCAGGCAGAAAGGCTTTCATTAAAGCTCCAGTCTTAGAAAGAATTCAGAGAGCCTTCAGATACAAGGTAAGGCCATTGGAAACCAGTTTCAATCAGGGAGATGCGGTTTGCAATAAGACGGGGGCTTAAAGACTATAGAAGCTTGGGGAAGGTTCCTGTTGAAAGTAGAGTAATAATGTTACTGTTCAACTATACTCTTCGAGGTTGCTTGGTATGGATTACAACTATGCAGATTCTAAGCATTTATGGAACATAAGAAGGCACCAGCTCTCAAACCCAAGAAGCATCAAAATGCCACAACTGACAGCTTGTCCAATGATAGACCAATTCTGAAGGTAAATATGAAGTTATTGGTTCCAAAGGACAACTGCCAAAAATGGGTGCCGACGTGAAATATTTACCAGAAGAGGCTGTATAATGGAGAAATATGACTCCATATGAGCATGAAAGACCACTGGAAAATATAAAGGTTGGGTGAGGTGCAACAGGTTAGGTCCATGGATGAAGTACAGAAATTGAAGGCAATAAAACTCATACAGTGAGTTTGTAAGTTCAAACAATGGATCTGGGAGCAAACATGTCTCTAAAAAAATTATTATAACCATTGAAAGAAATCAAATTAATAGGAGGTCAAAGAAAAACAGGCCCAGAAAGGGAAAAGCAAGATAGAGGCCGCATTTTAACAAGGTTAAGAAATACAGTACCAACCCCGAATGTCATCAAGACCCGAAGCTCACGTGATTGATAAACTATCTTGGAGCCAAGTTAATACAAGTTGTCAAACAACAAGAATTACAAAGGTGGAGGGAATTTGTGGCTTTAGTGGTATCAGATAGGGGACAAACAGCCATATCACATAGGTGTACACACAGAAGTGTCTCCTGATGGAACATACAAGGTTAATGAAAGCCTAATGGTGCAAGATTTTGAAGAAAAACTGGGGACCACAATCTCAGCAATTGTCGGCAATCACTTTTGAAAATTTTCTTGGCTTTGTTGGCAACAAATGCTTGGGAGTGTAAATCTATTGATATTAAAGCTGCAGTTCTGCAGGGAGATTGATTCAAAAGGGAAGAGTTTATTTGCTCCCCAAGAGGCATCAGATTTAATGAGACAAGCTGGAATTTAAATATATAGATATGGCCTAAATGATGGCTGTAGATTTTGGCACATCTCGGTAAGATCTGTATTAATAAAATTGGGTTGTTTTTAGTTAAACCTCTGTGTTTTATCAACACCAATGGGTAGCTTTCAGGCACCTTTAAGATGTACATGGATGATTTTTTTTACAGCAGTAAGTTTTTGTCATAAGATGAGCCTAAAACAGAATTCAAAATTGGAATTCAGGATTCTGAAGCTTTTAAGTTTGGAAATCAGATAGAATACATCGAATGTCACTTTGCATTAGCATTCCTGTTTGAAAAATTTTAACCCCATTGCTATTAGTCAAAGTAGGACCTCACAAAAAAAGATGCAGCAGCATTCAAAATTGAAAAGAAGGTATTGCAAAGTCTCATTAAACAGCTGAATTGGCTGGGCATTCAAGCAAGGTGCCAATTTTGAAGAATTAGAGTACAACTAAGAAAAGACCCAAAAACAGAAGTTGCTGGAAAAGCTCAGCAGGTCTGGCAGCATCTGTGGAGGAAAATCAGAGATAATGTTTTGGGTCCGGTGACCTTTCCTCAGAACTGATGGTAGATAGCAAAACGTTGGTTTATATGCGGAAGATAGGGTGCAAGGAGCGGGGATCAGGAGTAAACGATAGGTGAAGATAGAGCCTAAAAACAGAGAAGAGGAGTTGAACAGAAAAAGGAGTGGATAACGATCTGGCTAGGAGGGTGAATAGTTGTTAATGGAGGCAGTCAGTGACTCACAGTAAGTAGTGTGTAATGGCAGACTACGTGATAACAAGGCCTAGTGTGTGGGGTAGGAGGCTAGGATTTGGAATGTTCAGGCCCTGAAATTATTAAACTCGACATGGAGTCTGTAGGGCTGCAGGGTCCCCAAGCGGAAAATGAGGTGTTGTTCTTCCGGCTTG